AATTTCCTAACAATTACATTGCAAGGAGAAAAACAGAGATGAAAGAAGAATATACATTAAAATGGAATTAAAAGACATATCAATGAATTACATGTATGAATCTTATTTGAATCCCAATTCATCCAAACAAAATTGAAGAGAGAAAATCAGGAAAGTTTGAACATTGGCCAGATATCTGATAATACTCAGGAATTATTATCTTTTTAGGTGTGAAACTAACATTGTTATTGTGTTTAAGTACTTATATTTTAGTCTTCATATTGAAATATTTACTAATGAAATTATATGATATTTGGAATTTGCTTCTAAAAAATTCAAATCTGAGAAGTTAGAGAGAGGGACCAGGAAGATGAGAGGGAAAGGAATATCAATGAAACAAGATTAATTATGGGTTAGTAGTTGAGGCTGGTTATAGATATATGGAGATTTATTATACCATTATTTCTACTTGTGTATATATTTAAATTTCTCCATAAAGAATTTTTTTTATATATGCTTTGGAAAATTTTCAATTCTGGGCCACTATTCACATACAAATCTAAAATCTGCAGCCAACAAAGGCCTAAGTGCTTTTAAAAAGACATTGCCATTAGACGGTAGGCTGCTAAACCCTCCATTTTTAATCATTTAGCTTGTCCCTTCTCAAAGTAGTAAACAGGACACCCAAGTTACTATTAGGTGAAGTAGATTGTCAAAGGACTGGAAAAGGACATCCTGGAAAAGGACTGCTAGTGGATTCCTAAAAAAAACTGAAGTACTCATTATCCCTTTACACTATTACTTAGGCAACATTAAAAAGCCTGTTCATGGCTGCTGAACGATACAGCACCCTACTTTCTACCTTGCTTTTCTTCCCTTCTTCATGTACCTTTTGTCTCCATATTGTTCTGTTGTTAAACCCATCCACTCCCACACACTTCCCACCTCCTACTTTTGTCCCCCTAAAAAATCTACATACTTCATAGTGACTTCATAGTTGTACTAATCAGGACTGCTCTTGCAAATCAATTTGATCTTTGTACAGATATTTGCAAGCAAGGTAGTAAAAGATAGTCAAGCCTCCAATATCCCTGCAAATGGTTCTGGCCACTATGAAAACCTGCTTTTCCTCTTTCTTCAGAAGTTACGAGAAAGATGAACAAAATTCAAATTCCTACAAAGACCAGACTACTCTGCTAGAAGTTGAGTTTTTGTACTTTGGATACTTGTAGTTTACCCTGGCACGCTTTATAATATCCCCCCTCTCTCTTTACCAGTTAATGTTCCAGCCAAACAGAGCAATGTCTCCAGGTAATGTTCCAGCTAAACAGAGCAATGTCTCCAAATGAGGACAAGTAAGAACCTCTTCCACCTTGAGAAATCATAATGCTGCTTTTCAGTGCCTCTAGTAAGCAGGATGGCTCCCTGCAAAGCAGGTTTACAGTTTAACATGAATCATAGATATGGATGTCACAGCTGTGCTTGAGACTATCTGCACTTCTTTTCTTGAAATAGTACAGGGAGAATGAGTCACATGACAGGAATTATAGGAAACTAAACAAAATGGTAAAACAACTGCAGGGAACAAAAGTGGCACCAAATCTGAAGGGCAAAATTGCAAGACAGTGATTGAAAAGACCATAATAGCTCTGACTGACTGAGGGATTACTACGTGCCTGGCACTACACTGAGGGCTATGAATGTGAGGAATGTTTTTATAAAGAGGAAAAGGAGGATACCGAGAAAGGACAAGTAATTTGCCTAAGATTATATTCAATTTGTAGGTGGGAAGAATGGCATTCAAACAGGCTGCCTTCTTTCAAAGCAGGTACACATAATAACTACACAATGTTGTCATAAAAACATGACATAAGGATGCTGGCAAAGTAGAAGTATGATAATAAAATTATCCTGGAGGAATACAACTTTCTTTTAAAATACATGTAAATATGAAAATACAATCAATACATAAGTAAAATATACAGAATTTTGCTCTACTGTCAACTGGACAAAAATACACCCCATTCATATATTAAGATGTACTTGGAAACATTTGAACTGATCCCAAAATGTTTTATTTTTAATTTTTATTTCGTTCTATTTTTATTTAAATTCCAGCTAGTTAACAGGGTGCCTGGATGGCTCAGTTGGTTGGGAGTCAGACTCTTGATTTCAACTCAGGTCACGATCTCATGGTCATGGGAGCAAGCTCAGCATCAGGCCCCTGAGCTGGGCATGGAGCCTGCTTGGGACTCTCTCTCTCTCTCTCTCTCTCTCTCTCTCTCCTACCTCTGCCCCTCCCCTCTTTGAATATGTCCTCTCCCTCTTTCAATAAATAAATTAATTAATTAATTCCAGTTAGTTACATACAGTATTAGTTTCAGGTGTACAATATAGTGATTCAGCACTTCCATAGAATCAATACCTGGTGCTCATCATAACAAGTGTACTCTTTAATCCCCATCACCTATTTCACCCATCCCCTCTCCCCCACCCACCTCCCCTCTGGTAACCATCATTTTGTTTCTGTATGGTTAAGACTCTGTTTCTTGGTTTCCCATTCTTTCTTTTTTCCATTTGCTTGTTTGTTTTGTTTCCTAAATTCCACATATGAGCAAAATCATACAGTATCTGTCTTTCTCTGACTTATTTCTCTTAGCATGATACTGTTTAGCTCCATCCACATCATTGCAAATGGCAAGATTTCATTCCTTTTTATGGCTGAACAATATTCCATTGTGTGTGTGTGTGTGTGTGTGTGTGTGTGTGTGTGTGTGTGTGTATACATTCTTCTTTATACATCTTCTTTATACATTCATCAATTGATGGACAGTTGGACTATTTCCATAGTTTGGCTATTGTAGATAATGCTGCTATAAGCATTGAGGTGCATGTATCCCTTTGAATTCATATTTTTGTATTCTTTGGGTAAATACCTAATAGTGCAATTGCTGGATTATATTTTTAACTTTTTGAAGAACCTCCACAGTTTTCCACAGCGGCTGCATCAGTTTGCATTCCCACAATCGTGCAAGAGGGTTTTCCTTTCTCCACATCCTCACCAACACCTGTTGTTTCTTGTGTTGATTTTATCCATTCTGACAGGTGTGAGGTGATATCTCATTGTAGTTTTGATTTGCATTTCCCTGGTGATAAGTGATGATGAGCATCTTTTCATGTGTCTGTTGCCCATCTGTATGTCTTCTTTGGAAAAATGTCTAAAACTGATCCAAATTAGGTATGTTTTGGTACTACAAAGTATACATAGGAACTGACAGTCAATGATGCAAAAAGGATCCGTTCACTTCACACAGAAGCAAAAATAAGTTACTTTTGAGTTTATTTTGAGGAAAATAATAAAATCATGATTTAAAATAAGCAATGAAATATAAAACTTCAATCAAAAAATAATATATTCAAAACATATATTCCTTCTCCTAGAATGGCCACTTAAAGAAGGAAGAAGAGAGTATAATGAATAAAAAGCCCATTAGCATGAAAAGTTGCTATAGTTCACTGTTCATAAAAGAAATGCACATTAAAAACAATCTTTATTTTGCCAGTCAGGGAGATAAAATTTTTTAAAAACAATAAAACCTAGGATTGGCATGTGTATGTATAGTTACTTCCTTAGTAACAAAAGCAACTTCAATACCTCCTTTATGAATCCCAGATCCTTCATCAGTCTCTCTCTAGCACACTGATCTTTTCTTTATAGAATTCAAGATCATCTTAACTATCTAAATTTAATGTCTGTTAACTACTACATATTGAAAACTCTTTGAAAGCTGTGACCATGTCTACTTTGTTCTCTATATCCTGTTATACCCAGAGCCTACAGCCATAGCAGACAGTCAAAAAGCATTTGTCAAATGAAGGTTGAATAAATGAACCAAATGCTGGTAAGTATACAAATTAATTGTACCTCCAGTGATTTATCTTAAAGAAATAATAGCAGGTTAAAACAGTTCTATAGAAGAATGCTATAGAGGAAAACTAAACATCATGTTATGTTTAAAATAAATCTGCTGGTCTAAAGACTGTCTTTTGGTTTGTTTTTGCTTGTTTGGTTTTGGTTTTTAGCTAACAGTCCAATTATTATTAGGGAGAAAATCTGGACATTAAAAAAAGTCCTCTTATTTTAGGCAAAGGAGGCACTTTTTTACAACAATAAAAGATACCGCTTTAATTATATTTTTCTAAGTTTCTAAGTCTGAAGTTTATCAACAGTATCATAAATATTGTAGTTAAATAGCTACAATTTTCAGAAAGTCCCTGCACTTCCTTAAACTGGCCCTTACTAAATGGCCTAGTATAAATTTAGATCACATAAATTTAACTAAATTTGTTTAAGTTCTATTAATCCCCTTTTAATTCACTTTATCAATCTCTAAGGTAACATTGAATTAACATAATTTTAAGTAAATTACAATCTTAGGGATTAAAATCCCTAAGGGTTACTAGGAATAAAATTCCTTCATAACTTATCTTTTACATATTTTTAAGTATATAATTCAGTGGTGTTTAGTATAGTCACAGTTGTGCAACCATAACCATTAAAACATTTTCATCATCCTCCAAATAAGCCCATTCCCCATTTCCCTCAGCCCTAGGCAACCACAAGTTTACTTTCTTTCTCTATGGATTTGCCTATTCTTGGTGTTTAATATAAGTGAAATTATATAATATGCATTCTTTTATGACTGGCTTCTTTCACTTAGCATAATGTTTTCTAGACTCATCCATTTGGGAGCACACATCAGTATTTCATTCCTTTTTATGGCCAAATAATATTCCATTGTATGCATATACCACAATTTATGAATTCATCAGTTGCTGCTCATTTGGCTTCTTTCTACTTTTTAGTGACAATGGGTAACGCTGCTATGTTCACATACAAGCTTTTGTGTGGATGTGTGTTTTCATTTCTCTTGTACATATGTCTAGGAATGGAATTACTAGGTCATATAGTGATACTATGTTTAAGCTTCGAAGAACTGCCAAAGCAGCTGCATTCCCACCAACAATGTATAAGGGGTTCAATTTCTCCAGATCATCCTCTGTTCTTTTGATTACAGCCATCCTTGTGAGTGTTATGCCATATCCCATTGAGTTTTGACTTATATTTTTCTAATGGCTAATGATATTGGACATCTTTTCACATGCCTGTTGGCCACCTATATATCTTCCTTGGATAAATCTGTATTCTGATGATATTTTACCCATTTTTTAATTGGGTTGTCTTTTTATTGAGTTGTAAGAATTCTTTATATATTCTGGAGACAAGTCCTTTAGCATATATATGAGTTGAAAATATTTTCTCCTACTCTGTTAGTTGTATTTTCATTTTCTTAAGGTTATCGTTTGCAGCACAAAAGTTTTTAATTTTGATGTAGTTCAATTTATCTATTTTGTTGTTGCTACTTGTGCGTTTGATATCACATCTTAAAAAACCATTGCCAAATCCAAGGGCACAAAGACCTACACCTACATTTTCATCTAAGAGTTCTATAGTTTTAGTTTTTACATTTAGATCTATGATCTAGCTTGAATTAACTTTTGTATATAGCCTGAGGCAAGAGTCCAACTTCATTCCTTTGGCTGTTATCCCAGCACCATTTGCTGAAAAGGCTATTCTTTTCCCCACTGAATTGTCTTGGTATCCTTGTTGAAAAGCAACTGACCATTATTAATGTAAAAGGTCCTTTCTGGACTCTGAATTAAATTTGTCACCTATATGTCTATTCTTATGCCAGTACTACACTGTCTTGATTACTGCAGTTGTAACAGTAAATTTTGAAATCAGGAAGTGTGAATCCTTGAACTTTGTTCTTTTTTGGGATTGTTATGGCTACTCTGGGTCCCTTCCAATTCCATATGAATTTTAGTATCAGCTTGTTCATTTCTACAAAAAAAGCAAGCCAGATTGTGAAATGGATTGTGTCAAATCTGTAGATCAATTTGGGGAGTATTGCCATCTAATAGATTTTTTTTTTAATTTTTTAATGTTTATTTATTTTTGAGAGAGAAAGAGAGAGACAGAGCATGAACAGGGGAAGGCAGAGAGAGATGGAAACACAGAATCTGAAACAGTTCCAGGCTCTGAGTTGTCAGCACAGAGCCTGTTGTGGGGCTCGAACTCGGGAACAGTGAGATTATGTCCTGAGCCAAAGTCGGATGCTTAACAACTGAGCCACCCAGGCACCTCTCCATCTGATAGATTTTTTTTTTTTAATTTTTTTTTCAACATTTATTTATTTTTGGGACAGAGAGAGACAGAGCATGAATGGGGGAGGGGCAGAGAGAGGGAGACACAGAATCGGAAACAGGCTCCAGGCTCCGAGCCATCAGCCCAGAGCCTGACGCGGGGCTCGAACTCACTGACCGCGAGATCGTGACCTGGCTGAAGTCGGACGCTTAACCGACTGCGCCACCCAGGCGCCCCATCTGATAGATTTTTTAACAGAATTCAAGATTATACATATTTATATAAATAGGATCGTAATATATTATTATATTTGATCAACATTTAAGTTTTTATTGAAATGCCTTTTATACATTGTTAAGTCCTTATTTAATGAAGACACAAAGCCAAGAATCTAAAAAAATGGGTATTTTTCATCTGAAGTGTAAGCAACACAATTTATTGTTCATTTCATCTTCTATGACTAAATGGTACAAATGAAATTTTCAGAGCAAGATTATTAGGCCTAGTGTGTCAGTTCTTGGCTTCTAACATTGTCTTTGGGGATGTTTTCATCCACTCCATTCTTTTTAAGAACCATGAACGGCAAGGAGAGAAGTTAAAGTAGCCACCAGCAACAACTACTAAACCCATCAAAAAGCAAACAAATGTAAAGAAAAAGCACAATTCTCTATTTTTTATTACTTTTTAAATGTTCATTTATTTTTGAAAGAGAGAGTGTGCATGTGAGCTAGGAAGGGGTAAAGAGAGAGGGAGAGAATTCCATGGAGGCTTCACGCCGTCAGCACAGAGACCAATGTGGGGCTTGAACTCACAAACTGTGAGATCAAGACCTGAGCTGAAATCCAGAGTTGAATGCCTAACTGACTGAGCCACCCAGGTGCCCCATAAATCTATGTATTTTAAGCACATTTAAAAGGTCACTTGACTTTGGCATCAAGTTTTCTTTATCCTGTTGTGGTATAGCTATCAGGATCAGTTGAGAGAGCACCTTCATGTGCATGGACCATCTTAATACATTTCATTAACTTCCGAAACAATATGGTAGTATATCTTCTAATATGTGAATCCTGTTGGTGGGTAGCCTATGGGGGTGGGTAGTAGCAAAAGAATCATGAGTCTGTCCATAGATATTTTACAGGAAGAAAGTAAGATCTTGTAAAGCATTGATTTGTATTAGTTTTGTGTAAGGAAACACTTTTGCCTGTCTTGGGCACATAAATAAAATTAAATGTAAACAGTATTTTTAAATATCTGAATAAACTTCACCTGAGTAAAATATTAGGTATTAAAAAGTAGTTCTCATACTTTTGAGTTTCATTATGACTCTTAGATTTTTTTTAACAGTTTTAAACTATCATTTTGGTTTTTTATGCTCAAATAGTCACAACTTAGTCAGTTGGAGCCACTGTAAGCTGTCTCTTGTATCCTTTTGAGGGAACCACTGAATTTTTAAAGTATCCTTGTTTGTTGTCTGGTAGTTACTGCTGCCTGCCTCCCTCCCATCTTCTACCCCACTCTCATCCTTACCCCTCAAGTCTAGACTTTATTTTCCTAAAGATGAAAATCAGCTATCCTTTCAAGGAATCCTGGTTTCTTTTCACGGAAAACAATATTAGAGATAAAAATCTGAGGGCTAGAGGTACATATCAAGACTAACATTAAGAAGTGATATTGTTATCAAGCCATTTTAGTCAACAGAACTAAAAAATATATATGAACAGACATTCATTTTTACTGATCTTTGCCAGCTGAGTTTTAACATTAAGGCACACCAACCTGAATTTTAAACCCCCTATCTAAATTATAATTGCATTCCTTTTTATAATATAATAAGCCATACAACTATTACTTTTAGCTGGAAATCTTGATTAAAACTGACATAATTATTGGTTCTGTCAATAACAATTTATTAATATTAAAACTTACCATAAAAATACTAATGAATAACAAGGTTAAACATTACAATTGCTTTTGTATAATCGGACTACATTCCACTCCAACTAATGAATGGTTAAATTTTCTTGTTTGGGGTTTTGTGTAATTTTAAAAACCGTTTTGTTGTTAAATACACCACTGTCTGATATATTCTCTGTTCTAATTGCTTAATTTTAATGTTTTAACTGACATTTTTTTCTTAGTGCAGCATTACAGTACTAGAGTTTAAAAAAAGCTTGTTATTTTTTAGTACACTTTATGAGATGGATGAAAAATATAAACAGTTTGAGCTGTCATATTCAAGAATCTTATTTGGTTAACCTAATGACTCATGTAGTTACATGAATAATCTTTCTCTCTACATAAGTTCTTTCTGGAGAAACCCAGTTTTGTAAGTGTAAGTAATTTAGAAAATTCCAGTCACTTAAATTCCTATGCAAGATTTTAAATAATTGCAAGCATTAAAATAAAATACTTGTAAACTAGTCTAGGCTGGTAATATTTTATCACTTAGTTCAGGCCTGTGATTTGTGTACCTCATTGTATGTATATTATGTATTTAAAATGTCATGCTGATAACTCTGTTTTGCATTATAGTTACTGGACATTAACACAAAGATAAAACAAAAATATCATTTTTAAAGAACTAGTTTATAAAATTTAATTTTATCAGTAGATGCTATTTTTACTGTAATGTAACTAATTGAACACATTCTATAAACCAAGCTATATTTCCTAGTTTCATCATGCCATAAATTTTATTACTTTAAACTGAGACAAAATTAACATAAAATTTCTTAAATTTAAGATTATGGATATGACAGTATAATTCATAAGATTTTTTTCTTCTACCAAAGAGTTAGGAGTGGCTTGGTTCCCTTGTCTCACCTGAGAAACTATGGTTTTTGTGGCCAGAGATATTACAAATTTTTAGAAATTAAAAAATGTGAATTTTACCTCTAGTCACTCATTTTAAACCACAAATCATGGTTTTAACATGTAAATTAAGTGGCTTCTTTTCTTTTTTTAAAGAAACTGAATAACAAACCCAAGAAAACCTAGTGCCCTATTATCTATGCAAATGTATTGTAAATTAATTGAGTTTTTAAAATATTTGGAAGTCTCAAGTTCTTACAAATGCACTATCAAGCATCAATTAAAATATCTAATTGTATACATAAAACTTCCAATTGTTAAGAGGTGTAAAAAACCAAATAATTTCTTCTACAATGTCTATTTAAGAGAACGAATATATATGATTATGTTCATAAAAATCCAAAAGGCTACACCTTTATTTGTTTCTGGAGAGATTTCCTAATTGGTAAAGCTAAAATGGTATTATGCATTAACTGTTTTAACTAACAATTTTTTTCCACAGAAAACTTACACTCAAAAATGAAAAAAAAAGAAAAAAAGACTATGCTTCTAAGAAGTGACAGTATGCCAAAAATTACAATAAAATGTAATGATAATAATAAAATGCTAATATTAAAAATCTTATACAGTAATATACCCAGTTCCTTAAGACTAAAGTTTTAAGAGAGGAAAACCATGGAAACAGCTTGATTTTGGGACGGGTTAAGATGGCAGAGAAGTAAGGGGACCGGGATTTTCCTTGTCCCTCAAACACAGCTGTATTGAGGTCAGATCACTCGGAGCACCTAGGGAATGGATGTGGAGTGACATCAAGATCTCCACAGTTGGAGGGAGACAGCTTGGCAGGATGGAGCCTCTGGAGCTAAAACTTGGAGGTACAAAAGTGAGCGACTTTCTCCAAACGGAGCTGGAAGCCATTGCCATGCTCCTGGGGAAGAGGGAGCCAGCCCTGGAATGCATGGTGGAGTGTAGCCATCTCAGGGGCACACTGGGAGAGAACAGTCCTCTTCCCAGAGTACTGTAAGAAGAGGGTTTACTGCCTCCCCAAGGACAAAACACCCTG